GAAGTTTGTATCTCTGAGAGCATGAGATGCCAGCTGGGGTTTATGTTGCATTGCATAGATATAAGACTGCCAAGAGACTTCATACCAAATAAAAAGATAATCTTGTATACATCCTTGTTGTCAGAATTATGAAGTTCTCATTATGAAATTATGGCGTTCTCATGAATGAATTCTTTTAAAATAAACACCAGTTTAAAAATATTGAATGACAAAGATAAAATATTTTAATGAGCATATTTTAATATATAATTATTAAGTGGATAATATTGTAAGGATTTAATTTATTTTGTGTGTATAGCTTTTTCCTATTTACTTTATTTATACAGCTTTTTTCTTATAACTCAGCAGCCTTTGCAGAGTTCATTTTATGAGCTCTAAAATGTGAAAATGAAATGTATTCTGCTACATTAACAGCTTTGTCTTATTGAGTTTGAATTGGTTAATGCTTGTTCCAACTTCGAGCTCTTATTCTTTACATTTTATTTCAGTGTAGGTGTAGGACTTTGGACGTATATTTTCATGACATAATCAGAATATGATTATTAGATTGATATATTCATAAAAAATAACCTTGCATAGGTATACCGCATAACCTGCTAATGCTTACATGCACTATTTCTTCCAGACTTTATTACTGAAATGTCATGACAATCTTATTTGGAAAGGTTTTCCCACTGCTGCTATTATTGGGCTGGTATATCAGTTAATTGGCAAAAGTTCCAATATTGTCTGCAATTCTGTATATATGGTAATTTTTCACAAGTATGCATAAAAGTTTGTGGAGGTAATCCTCAGTTACTGAACACAATTTGTACTGTCAACTTTGTTACTAAGTGACTTGATCCTAAACAAAAGAATCATTTGACTGCACCAGACTCACAACCTCAATTCCAGCTATAGTTAAGAGAATCACATATGGTCGTTTAGTGAAACATCACACAACTACAACTTGTGGCCTCCTCCCGACTTTTCCATTGACTTTGCTTGTTGGAAGCTGACTATTAAGGTTGTAAATAATGATCATGTGACCGCAGTAGTCTGTGACTGTTATATATGCACATTGAACACTAAATATCCAAATCACAGAAGTGACTGCAGGTATGCTACAACAGCCACAAGTTCAAGGACTGATTGTAAATCTCTTTTTTCAGCACCATCATAACTTTAAACAGTTGCTGAACAGGTAGTTGGTAAATGAGGATTACCTTTAAAATAAATCAAGTAAGAAAATGATGCTAAC